ATATTTTAATACTATTAATTTCATGTTTATATACACTTAAGAGGTATCATTGAAATATTATTTGTATATTTAATTAAATAAAAGTCATTAATTATTTAAAACTTTGTTTTTGTTTTATAATTAAAATTATATACTCCACAAATTAAAAGAATACTTTTATTTAAAACTTTTATTTCATATTAAATATTGTGGGATATATTACTATTTATTAAACATATTTGAATAGTTTTAAGTCTAGTTTTAAGTTGAATAATAATACTGATATTAGTGTTAAAACAGTTGTACAAGGGCTAATAAGAGTGTGTAAAAAACTATAAATATAAGAGTGTGTATATAAAAGGACTTAAAAAGTACCTGGGTAGAAACAGAGCTCTATAAAAATGTGTATAAAATTAGCCCTTAAAAGTCCTTAAGTACCGTATTTCAACAAAACTCATTATGTATACAATTTATATTAAGTCTTTTTGCTTAACTTTCAATAATTTCTGGATTCATCTGGATTCATAATTCAGAAAAATATAATCAAGTTTGAATTAGACTTTTGTACTTTTATTTTCCATTATATATTTTGTGATAAACATTTTTAAATGATGATTTTTTTATTTAAATTATTTAATATTAAATTTAATTTCATAGCAAAAAATAATAATTTTTATTAATCAATCATACATTTATTAAGCTCAATTTCAAAATTACCGTAGTACAATAATATCACATTTAAACATTTATTTTAAATTATCACTATTACAGTACTTTATTCAATAAAGTTTTACAAAGTATTACAAACGGCATTCAATAAAACACATACAGAATACTAAATTTTATTTGATCATCAAAATAGCTAGATTAGATACAAATACAAATCTATTTAAAACATTGAGTTCAGGTGATCCATCTGTCTATTAATGAACCGCATGTATCGGTAGCTCCTTATGTGTTGAACCACTCGGTCCTTAAATTGACCATCAAATGAGAATATGAGTCGACCATGCTCAATCAATTGCCTGACCCGGGTCACGGGATCGCATACTATTTCACGCCACATCGGTTTATACTCTAACAACAGTACATAAAGTGCCACCAAATGGTTGAGTATCCAAAGAGCCAGCAATTGTATCTCATCTAGCATTTTATACCAGCATTTGTTTTAATAGACTTTTATTTGTAATTATTTTAATTTAGTGTTTGAAGTCACTCAAGAATCCCATTCCTTAATGTTATGTATATTTAGGCAACTTTCCCTTTTATTCAAACGTATAATTAACAAAAAGCTATTATAAAATAAATGATTGGCACGATGTTTATTTTATTTTATTAATAGACTTTACAGATATTTATCCTGATGAATAATCCCACGGTAATTTGAATTACGTAGATAGAGTTTATTGTTTGATTGATTATTGTGAATAATTTGTAAACAGGACAATTTAGTGACTCTAGTAATTAATGTGTCAAAAATGTACTTATCACTAATTATTAGTACCAATATAATTACATTTTGTGAAAACAAAACAATTATCACAATTTGTGATTCACAAAAATGTTTACAAAAATAGTTTTAATAACTAATTCAATAAATACATATTACATGTATAATTTTATTTAACTTTAATTTTCTCAGACATTTTATAATATGCTTTTAAATAAAATCTGAAAAACATATAGAGAAATACGAAGGGCTGTATGGATACTGGAATTACAATAAGCAGTGGATATGATGAAATGTCCCTAAATATAAGACTATGTAAACAATAGATGCCCAGGATCACAAATTGTATCAACTGCAATCGTGTGATGTATCGCTTCCACCATAAATATGGCTGAATTTTGGGCCCAAATGCCGATAAAAAGTAATATAAATACATAATTGTATGGACAGTAGAGTTAAGCAAACAAAACGCCTCCAAAATAACTGTTTGCGGACATACAGTGGCCACTATGTAACCCATCACTGGAACTATAGATCATTCAATATATTATTTATTATAAAATAGTTTTATATAATTATAGTAGAGTATAATAAATTAGTTATTTTCATAGACTATTTACTATAATTCACTTATTTCAGGACTCCATTGATAATTATTTTAATGTTTTACATAATATATTAAATTATTTAATACTAAATGAATTTATTATAATTATGATTATCTTGTTCACAAATATTCTGAACATATATGTATGAAAGGCATACGAATTATATTCATCATTAAATACCAATACCCATAAAATGATGATAAACGTGAAGAAATGAGACCTGATTTGACTTTTTTCTCAACACAAAGAATATGGTGTCCAATAAATCAAAGAATTTTGTGTTAAAATAAAAAATTCTTCTTGGTAATACGCTCTCATTTTTACTCAACCACTCGGGAAGCTCAGGTAGCTGTGGATCCAGTGATTTGCTACCGAAATCTAGCCATTTAAGGGACTCGTATACATAGAAAGCATTGATGAGCACTAGTATCATGTTGTAAACCATCATTATTTCTCGCAATACTAAGGGTTTCCTATGTTTCATAAGTATTGGACCCAATTTTGTCACAAATACTAGCCATAACATCATGAATACACCAAATTGAATGGGACCCCCGCTGAATAGATAATATTTTGCAATTTTAGGGTGCATTTGACCTAGCATATAATCAATGTATCATTACAATATATAAAACAAACATTTTTGGTAATAGATAATCATATAAATATAATATTTACTTTTAAACAATGATACATGGTTATCATCAATAACACTGTAAATAAATAGAAAATTTAACATTTAAAATGTATACTGTTGATAATGATACCTGGTCATGATTCAACTACGCTATAATTAAGTTATTTAATTTAGCAAAATACTGCAAAACTTATAGTTTTATGAATGAAAAGCATTTATAAACAGATTGTTCAGACATTTTATTGGGTAAACATAATATAATTACACGTATTTCTAATTTTTAATATTAAAAAAATTCAAATAAGTAATCAAATGTCTGTTATAAAAAATAATAATAAATAATAATAAGTTAATCTGAATTCTTATTAATAATATATAAATTTAAAGTTTTAAATCTCTAAGTTTCATCTAATACATTTGTTATTTTAGAAAATATACAATTTAATCAATAAAAATTTATTCATTTAATGATTAATGAATAGTCTGATTTTAATATTTTCCAGTGGTTTAATATAAACTATTAATTATAAATTAATTTTTAAATGTAAAGGAAACACAACAATTTATTATTTTAAAAATTGCTTAATCTAAATATAAAATTTAATACAGAATATAATCATTTAACTGATATTAATAGAATTTTTATTTATTTTATTAATGAGTATTTTCAATATTATTGAGATTCTTGGAAAGTATAGTACTTTTACTATGTTTTTGTTTACGTAGATATGAGTTGATAAAGAAATTTGTAAACATTAGTAGAAATAGTGTGTAGAGTGCGAGACCTGAGGTCACCACCGATAGGGAGGCATCGCAAGGGATTCCAGTGTTTTTGTATTCAATTACTGTATAATTAATATAAAGTCCAAAAACCATTTGAAGGATTTGTATTAAAGTTATGGAAATACTGATGACAAGTGGTATTGATATCCGCATTGCTTTCAACGCATAGTAGGTATACATAAGTGAATGTGCGATGAAATTCATGCCAACCATCCATCGGGCGGTCGCGGGAACGTCACCGAAAACATACCACGAATAGCATAGTGTTAGCACATGGTGTATCCAATGGAGTGTCAATAGTTTTCCATTTCTCAGCAGAATAAACAGTGTGTCAATCAATTCAATGACTTTAGACCAAACAAAGAAAAGGTACCACCAGTTGAGCCGTAAGTCTTTGTAATAGTCTGACTGACAGAATGAAGCCGTGAATCCTTTTGTGCTTAAAATATATGCAAATTCTGGTAAACATCTGATGACTCCTATTATGGAAAATACGGCCAAAAATGAATTCCAAAACGTTAATAGAGTTCTCAGATTATAAGGCTTTCCCCGATATTTCATCCATTGTTTGAGAATTGGTATCAAAATGATATAACCAATGGATATATACACAGAATAATGCCATTTCTGATGCATAATCTCCACATAATCATCAAAATCTAATGAATCAATTATCTTATTTTCCAATTCAGTTACACCAGGAATATATGAAAAACCAGAGAATTGAGTCCAATTATGAAACCATTTATCAGGATTTCTATCAATAATATGATAATTATTATAACGAATATCATTTGCCATATTGCTGTTATAAAGTTTTTGCTAAATTTTTATTTGATAATCACTTTATTCTATAATAAATAATTTAATATCAAATTTAAAAAATAATTATTTTACAGATTATTTAAATGGTTTTAATATTTTCCAGTGATTTAATATAAACTATTAATTATAAGATAATTTTTAAATGTAAAGGTAAGACAACAATTTATTAATTTAAAAATTGATTAATCTAAATATAAATACATAGTATAATTATTTAACTGTTATTAATTTTTATTTATTTTATTAATGTGAGTATTTTCAATATTATTGAGATTCTTGGAAAGTATAGTACTTTTACTATGTTTTTGTTTACGTAGATATGAGTTGATAAAAAAATTTGTAAACATTAGTAGAAATAGTGTGTAGAGTGCGAGGCCTGAGGTCACCACTGATTTGGAGGCATCGCAAGGGATTCCAGTGTTTTTGTATTCAATTACTGTATAATTAATATAAAGTCCAAAAACCATTTGAAGAATTTGTATCAAAGTTATGGAAATACTGATGACAAGTGGTATTGATATCCGCATTGCTTTCAACGCATAGTAGGTATACATAAGTGAATGTGCGATGAAATTCATGCCAACCATCCATCGGGCGGTCGCCGGTATGTCACTGAAGACATACCACGAGTAACATAGTGTCAGACAGTGGTGTATCCAATGAAGGGTTAGTAATTTGCCATTTCTCAGCAGAATAAACAGGGTATCGATTAACTCAATGACTTTAGACCAAACAAAGAAAAGGTACCACCAGT